AGATATCCCCAAGCTAAAAATTAAATTTCGTTCTTCTAAGCACCTTTCTTTACTGAGACATAAACAAGACTGCCAAGCCTACATGCCACGCCCATCCTATTACTTTCTGTTTTTCGAAAAAATGTCAAAATTCTCTCTGACATTTGCTATTGGATTATTTATAACCAACAGAAAGATAAAAGTTAAATTTGCTGCATTTGTGTGAGGTTAGAATTGCCTATCCAACAAATTAAAAAATAATTATACCTCAGTTTCTTTCTGTAACATTGTGGTATTCACTTAGACCAACTAACGGAGATTTTCAAGCCCAGTTATAGATTAATTAGAAAGCTAGTTAAATTATAATATTTTTAGGGCACTCTAGTTTTTGTGTGTGCCAATACTTTGTATTCTAACTTGCATATTTTGATTTTTAAAAAAGTATTTGTACTACAAAACCCAAATACAAGTGCCCCCCCCCAGTGGTTCATCAGTAAATCTGCAGGTTTACAACGCTAAAAATCGGGTTTAGATACCTGTGGTGGTCAGAGCACAAATAGCCCATTGTGCAACTTTGTGCTTAACAACAACCAAACCAAACCCTAATACAAGTTGGGTTAAGTGTCGACGGGACATCGATGATAGAGTTCAAGACCCCACATGTAAGTACTAAATTTCTTGTTTTTTTATGTATGTTTTTATTTATTGTTATAAAGGTAACTAAAATGTAAAATTAGAAACTTATTAGGCTAGATAAGAAACATAAAAGACGAATGAGGATATTTCTCTGTGAGTAGTGCATAAAAGCTGCTCATGTGCTATGTAATTCAATACTTAGTTTACCTTAATTTAAACTACGATCTTGCCGGGTGATTTATTGGTTTGTTACGCTTTGCTAATGTTTAGATTCAAGTGAAAGAGAATAAAACATTAAAATTTAAATAAACGAAGTCATGAAAAGGTTAGAGATGTAAAGCTATTGTGATAAATAATTGTAATTGTAACAACCTCCAGTTATTCTAGAAAAAAAAACGCACTTTTTGATTTTATCTTATATTTTTTAACTTTTGATACAGATTATTTAGCTACAGTTTGTGCTAGAGTAGCGGAAATATGAAATAAAACGTATGTTTTACCAAAAACATCCTCTGATATTCACTTAGGAGGTTCTGGAAGCTAGGTAAATGAAATACGAAAACTGTAGGATGGAAAAAGTAGTTTTAATTTTAACACTCAGACTAATGAGAGTCTAAGCCAGTCTGACTTTGTAAGTTTTCAGACAAATTTTTAGTAAAAGATACTTTATTAAAAATTCTGATTTGTTTTTTGTTGTTGTTGTTGTTTCCAACAGACCTGTGTTGTTTACTAAAAGCGTTTACTCAGTAAATTCAAAATTATAGTACATTGATATGTATAGCTTCACAGATGCAAGGGTGGGTGGAATCCCCAGTTTGGTCTGGCTGGTGTTTGAGTCTAGTTTGGCTTGGGAAGATCAGGTTCAATTTGGACCTTTTCTCCCCTCTATGACAATTCTACTTCTTACGCCCAAAGCTATGTACATACGGATTTATAAAGACTGCCTTAATAAAAATAACGCTAGATTTATACACAAGGTTTCTAAACTTTACTAATAATTAGTAGAAATGTATTAACTAAAGCTACTGTTGACTTTTAATAGAAAGTTCCTCCAGTTTATTAACCGTTATTGAGAACTTTGGTTAGCTACAGCTTAGTATTTATTCTCACTACAAGGTTCCTCCAGTTTATTAACCATTGTGAGAATTGTATGAGCTAAAGCTATTGCTGACGTTTAATAGAAAGTTACTCCAGTTTATTAACCGTTATTGGGAACTTTGGTTAGCTACAGCTTAGTATTTATTCTCACTACAAAGTTCCTTCAGTTTATTAACCATTGTGAGAATTGTATGAGCTAAAGCTATTGCTGACGTTTAATAGAAAGTTACTCCAGTTTATTAACCATTGTGAGAATTGTATGAGCTAAAGCTATTGTTGACATTTAATAGAAAGTTCCTCCAGTTTATTAACCGTTATTGGGAACATTGGTTAGCTACAGCTTAGTATTTATTCTCACTACAAAGTTCCTCCAGTTTATTAACCATTGTGAGAATTGTATGAGCTAAAGCTATTGCTGACATTTAATAGAAAGTTCTCCAGTTTATTAACCGTTATTGGGAACTTTGTTTAGCTACAGCTTAGTATTTATTCTCACTACAAAGTTCCTCCAGTTTATTAACCATTGTGAGAATTGTATGAGCTAAAGCTATTGCTGACATTTAATAGAAAGTTCTCCAGTTTATTAAGCGTTATTGGGAACTTTGGTTAGCTACAGCTTAGTATTTATTCTCACTACAAAGTTCCTCCAGTTTATTAACCATTGTGAGAATTGTATGAGCTAAAGCTATTGCTGACATTCAATACAAGGATTCTTCAATTTACTAACTGTTATAGAAAATTTGTGGTTAGCTACAGCTTACTACTGAATTTCGTTGTATCGTTTTTCCAGATCTCAGAGTGTTGAGGGAACTGTGTTAATTAACACTTTTTGTTTTCCTACCTTATACTTAATTTTCGTTCAGCCACCTAGTTTGGTAAACCAGTATTTTTCTTGAGCCATCTTCTGACTGTTTAGTTATACTTTAAAGTTCACATTTCCTCTAATAATCTTATGCAATTGTTAAACCATCAGATTTCTACTCCATTGTAATCTTTAGTCATGTATAACGAATTATATTGATTTCCTACCAATCATTTCTCTTTAACCTACGTTAGTTTTGGTATTCCACCTAGAATCTACAATCTGAACTAAAATGTAATGAGAATTTCGAAGAATTCTGTTTCTAATACATACTAGTTGAATCTTTTAACTTTAATAAACTTTAATTAGGGTTTAGGTAAATTATATTATTTTTTATGTGAACCATATTACCCTACGAAACGATTAATGAGGATTTCAGTGAATTTTATTGTTTCAAGTTATATAACATTACGAAAGTTTTAATTAGACTTTCAGCGAATGTTATTGTTTTAAATCGGTTTTTATGTTGATCATATAACTTTAAGAAAGGTATAACAAGGATTTAAGATCTTTGTCGTTTGAAGTAAGTTTTATGTGAATCATAAAAGGTTAAAAAAATTAAATGAGAATTTCAGCTAACTTCATTGTTTCAAATAGATGCCCCCCAGTGGCACAGCGGTATGTCTGCGGACTTACAACGCTAGAAACCGGGTTTCGATACACGTGGTGGGCAGAGCACAGATAGCCCTTGTGTAGCTTTGTGCATAATTAAAAAACAAACAAACACTTCAAAGAGATTTAATTTGGATCATATAAGCTTAACAAAACTTTAATGGGGGTTTGATAAACTTTTATTGTTTCAAGTGGGTTTAGCCTTAAAAAAGATTCATTGAGGATTTCAGCGAACTTCGTTGTTTCAGTTAAATTAATATGGCTCATGTAACCGTAAATAGGGTTTAACGAAGAGTTCAGCAAACTTTGTTGTTTCAGGTAGGTTATATGAATCATATCACCTTAATAAGCATATAATTCTGATTTCGGTGTAGAGAAATTCAGCTTTATGTTAAGAATGATCTTAGTGGATTGTAATTAGAGTTTATAATGTTAAATTAGATTTACGATTAATCTACAGTATAGAAACTGTACAATGACTATTCTATCAAGAACTAAATAATAAAATCCATGGTAAAATGATATGCTGTTTTACAGCATCACATTGTGTTTTTTTTTTTTTGCTTTTGTGATTTCATTATATTTCTTTTGGCCTATTTTTCTAAGATCACAAGATGCTACGTTTTTTGTGTGTTTTAGGAGGTTTGACATACATTTTTATGTCAGAATAGGTAAAATTGTTCGTTGGTAGCTGTGCTTCAAATCAGGTTCCTCTCTAAAATGACATCATTAGAAATAACTTCGGTATTTCACGGAAATATCCGAGAAACAATATATCCTATCAATATCATAAGAAAAAACCAACAAAGCTGTCAGGTGCTGCTATCAACAAGTTATAAAAGGAAGGTCGAAGATCGAAGAGAATCGTGCCGTTGACAACCGTTGTCAGCGGCACGTGCCTATCGTTCTAATGAGCAGATCGATCCAGGTAACAGACCAACCCAACCAGAAGAAATAAATCTTCTCGATAAACCGACAGCTTACAGCTACTAATGAATTCATAAACGTTGGCGATAACTCATAAAGAGGAGTATCACTCTGAACAATGAAGTCGCTAGTCATCGCTCTTGCTGTCACGGAGTGAAAGAACCGTTCATTTTGGTTTTATTTTTTATAGAGCACAGCTGATAAGCGGTTTTGTTCAACTCGCTTCTTCTCCGATACTAAGCCCAAAATTTTGAACTGATTGGCATAAATATGTGGTTAACGTGGCGTGAACTTGGTCTAGGTTTGAATGATGGTTGTGTTTACTAACTTCTGTAGAGGTTATCGTTCACACGCTAACTATCACAACGAGCCACAGCTAGCTATTTATATCATATAACATCAGTTTCGTGCTACTGAAAACCATTGTTCACACAATTTCTACAAAAATCCTTATTCTACATTCTGTATGTATACTCATTTTGCCACGTTATATATACATATATATGGTTTGCCCTAATTTATGATTTGTGTACATCCTTTTTTGTTTTAGTTGTTTATATATACATGTCTTTGATTTGGCAGTTTGTGCTCGCACCAGCGTTTTTACTGTTCTTTCTATGTAGTTTTTGTTCTTACAGTGTATTAGATATTTTTATAGGAGAATTATAATTTTCTAAGTGGTTGGTATATCAATACATTGCTAGCAAAGTGTAACAACACTTGTTTGGAAAGTTATCAGAGAGTGACAATCCGTTGTTTGAGTGAAACTTCAACATAATGTTATCCAAAGTTGACAATAAATTTATTAATAAATGAAAAACAAGTTTGTTTATTGTATAAAAATGTAACCAAATTTTCAATAACAACGAAACCCTTTTCCTTGCAGACGCAACGTGCTACAGATACAAAACGCGAAAGGAGTTGACTATATTGGACCAGTAAAATGGTCTCTTGCACTGTGCCTAATGGCTGTCTTCGTTTTAGTATATTTCTCATTATGGAAAGGCGTTAAAAGTTCTGGAAAGGTTAGTACAAACAGACTTCTGTAAAAAAAAAGTACTTTTCAGTAATCCGTTATTTATACCTTTATACAATGATGTACTAGTCAAACTTATATCTGAACAGCATCCTACTTCGTGAAGTATCTTCAGTAAAATATTGAAGATGTCTCTAGACTATATTTGGTTCAATCTTTTAAACAAACTCAATTTGTATGACTGCTTCTTTAGTACCACACTAAAAAGTATTCAAAAACAGATTCTTAAAATGATTAGACTAAAACAATAACACGGATTATTAAAATATATTTCATATGACGTCATGCTAAACTTTACTGTTTACCATAATTGTGTTGTGTTTTCTTTAGGCCGTCTGGTTTACTGCTACTATGCCATATGTTGTCTTGTTTATCCTGTTCTTTCGTGGTATAACACTAGATGGCGCTCTGGATGGCATCGTGTTTTATCTTTCACCACAATGGGACAAATTGGCAAAAGCCGAGGTAAATTTTGCAAATAAAAACACACACACACACACACACACAAATGTCACTTTAAATACAATCACCTCAAAACACATGAGAAAAGGTTTAACCTTAAAATACACAAGGTAAGAATATCCCAGTAAAATTAGAACTATTTCAATACTTACGGTATAGTATGGGTAAAAGTTTCAAATTAAATTATAAGTTAGGACAGTCATTTTCATATAGACGAATTAAGAATATTGTACTGCAGTAAGTGATAAAGATACCGAGATAATCTCACAATGGTGTAGATACAAACGTAATACTTTCATGATTCTGGGAGCTAGATATTCTTATCGTGATATAGATACTAAGATATATTACCATGATACAAAAACCAAGGAGATCTTACCATTATACAAATACCGATGTAACATTTTATTGATGCAGATATTGAGCTAATCGTATCATAATATAGATACCTAGGTAATATTACTATGATATAGATAATTGGATGAGCCTGAACTGTATTGTTTTCTATATACAGTCAACAAAGAAAGTTAAACATCACGTTCATTTTCCAAAGGTTTTGAGTATTTATTAGGTCGTCAAAAATTAATGTCGGTTTTTTTTAGATGAAAGAACCTGAACAACTTATATATCAAAACAAAATATTTATTAAATGAAATAGTCTCCATTCTTATCTATGATGATTTTCCATCTTATAATCAGGTTGCCCTGATTAAAGAAATCACTTGGCTTGGAGAGTTTGTGAGACACTCAAACACCTTCTTTATGAAGTTTTCCAATATTTCTTAGATGTTTAAGTGTTGTTTCAAGAGAGACATGCAATTTCAGGGCCATTTCACGAGACTGTTGCCTTGGATTAGACTCAACAAGCGTCTTCAGAGCATCAATATCAATTCCAACATGTCGGTCCCTACCATCACAGTTTTTAAGGCTAAAGTCACCTGAATGAAATTTGCTGAACCATAGTTGACACTTACGAAAATTCAAAACATTTCCATAAACTTCTTTGATATTCTTTGTGGCTACAGAGACGTTGTTTTCCTTCTTGTATTCAAACAGCATTACATGCCGAATATGTGTCTCGTCATGTGCCATCACTATAAGGGAGTAGAGTATACTAAACTTTACCCATTATACAGGCTACACTAACGTGACGTGTAAGTGATTTGTTTAACTATTATACATGACGCACGTTTTTTGGGGAATGGTTAATGAAAGTGCTCCAAAACGCGACATTAATTTCTTGACGACCTAATACTTATAGTTCATTTAATACACTTTTCATTAAAACATCGGAATACTTAAATTACAATTTTTGAGACTTCATAATCATGGCATATAACTAAAAATCATCTTGTTTTATTCTACAGGTGTGGATTGATGCAGCGACTCAAATCTTCTTTTCTCTTGGTCCAGGTTTTGGTACCCTACTTGCTCTGTCAAGTTATAATACTTTTCATAATAACTGTTACAGGTATGAGATTGTTGAGTAGATCAACAGTTGTTTCTACAATAATTGTTAAATGTATTGTTTTTTTACTGTCCACAAATAAAGTAGTTTGTATGATATCACATCAAAATAACGATTGAGAATATTTTTTAACAAATCTTTCTTTACTGGAAAACCTCACATTTTATGTGCCTCACGTCTTTGCCGACGAGGTGTTTCTCTCAGTACCAGAACTCACGAGATCGGCTGGGCATGCAACAGACGTAGCCTCAGTTGAAACCTATTTATAATAAATGTTTATGAGATATCAATTCATATGGTATATAATGACCATGCTAGCGAAACGTGATTGCTAGTTTATAAGATATTGTATCATAATAAGACTTGCTATACTTTTTGACAAATATTCCTTCGCTAGCCCTGTACTGGTCCATAATAAGAAGAATATAACAGAACTTAAGTCGCATACTTTCGGTGCTATCCGCTGCTCCCATGGCAACATTAGTGTGCCCAGCCGCTCTGATGAGCTCTGGTGTTGAAGTGATAGACTAGACGGAAGGAAGCTAGTTAATAGCACCCATTGCCAATTCTAAGGCTACTCTAACCGAATAATAGAATTTTACTATTGTTTTTGTAATGCGCTGAAGGCCTTAAATAAATTATAGTTATATATATCATTTCAACTAAGGTTTTTGTGTGTTTCATACCCAGTCGACCTGACGAACTCTAGCGTTGAGCAAAATGCCTCGTCGGCATCTAGATACGGTAAACAGACAACGGGAAACAAACAAAACTTGTATTTGTTTGTTTGAAGTTAAGCACAAGGCTACACAATGGGATGTCTGTGCTCTGCCCACCACGGGTATCGAAACCCGGTTTCTAGCGTTGTAAGTCCGTAGACATACCGCTGTGCCAAACAAAGTGTGTAGTAGAAATACTATTGGAAAAAAGATATAGGGTTAGTAAAGAAACATTTGCTAAAATTTATTACCAGTCTTATTGTGATATAATGTTCCAGAAACTACCGAGCTACAGATCACACTTCAACATCATATGTGTTATACACAATATGAAATAAGTTAATCTTTGTTTCAAGTAATAGCTGTTACAAGTGCGTAAAGAGTAGGAGAATCTACATCTGTTACAATTATCTAATTTTTTTTAAAAAGTGTTAAAAATAATTGCTAAATGGTGAATAAAACTCAATAACAGATGGTAATGTTGTTGTTGTTATATTTTTTGTTTTTTGTGTGCGAAACCAAGGTCTTGTTCGGGTTATGATCGATAATTCATGCAAATCTACACAAGGACAGTCTGCTTAGCCATCCCTAATTTTGAAATGATAGACTAGATGGGAGTAACTAGTTAAAAACCCTGCCAACACTTGGGTCACTCTATTCGAGTCCCCCCCGCTGGGACAGCGGTAAGTCTTCGGATTTACAACGCTAAAATCAGGGGTTCGATTCCCCTCGGTGGACACAGCAGATAGCCCGATGTGGCTTTGCTCTAAGAAAAACACACACTCTAATCGAATAATGGGATATCATCATCAATTTTATCAAGTACTCAAGGCTCTTAGTGCGTAGCGCGATTTTGCGGCAATGGAATACAACAAAGATCATCGGATTTACAGGTCAGGCACAAAAATACTTGGCCACGCCCGATCTCTCTAGAGTTCAAGATACGAGTTTAATAGTATCGTACAGCAATGAGCGGTTATAGAAGTTTAACACATTGCTGTACCATATGTTAAACTTCTATAACCGGTCATTGCTGTACGATACTGTTAAACTCGTATAACTGGACATTGCTGTACCATATGTTAAACTTCTATAACCGGTCATTGCTGTACGATACTGTTAAACTCGTATAACTGGACATTGCTGTACCATATCCAGTTATACGAGTTTAACAGTATCGTACAGCAATGACCGGTTATAGAAGTTTAACATATGGTACAGCAATGACCGGTTATACGAGTTTTAACAGGATTGTACAGGAATGACCGGTTATAACATCATCAAACGAGAGAAGTAGGAAAGGTGAAATAAATATAAAATACGGTTAGAATAAAATAAAACAAAATTTTGAATAAAGCAAAATGAAATAAATGGGAAATAACACATAAATTTCAGGTACATAATAGGTAAGTTTAATTACAATACTTTTTCTGTTACAATACTAGTGGTAGATAAGCTGAGCTACAATAATTCCTCTCTTAACTGTTAAGGGTATAAGTATTTTGTTCTATGAATCTTTTATCTCTTTTTTTATTATTATTACTGCAAGGGAATGTAATTGTTTCTACGTAACATTATTTTACTTAATTTACACATAGGTAGATAAAGAAAAACTACTGATTTAGAATCAATATTGATTTATTAATCAACAGTTTTAAGGTTTATGTTTGTTTGTTTTTTCACTCCACTAGGGATGCTATATTTACCAGCAGTATCAACTGTGTTACAAGCTTCCTAGCTGGGTTTGTTATTTTCTCAGTTTTAGGCTATATGGCCCACATGTCGCAGAGAGACATCCAGACCGTCGCTACTGATGGTGAGTACCAATATATAATAACTACTTCCTTGTAAAGAGATTTCCTTATACTATTATAATAAAACTGTGTAGGCAACAGTGGTGTAGTGCTAAATTTTGTAGTGCCGGAGTGTGACGTCACCATTAGGGTAAGGGTCTCATTTGTGAGTCCATTTTTATATAAATAAAATATATGCAGCGCTAACTATTTGAGACTACTTATATTAGTACCAAATTGAATACACATATATTAGCGAGAGAAAACATGCAACTCAGCTTCCTTTAAATTAAAATGCAAGGTCAAATTCAAATCGTTATCAAAACAAGTTTTAAAATCGCATACCTTATTAATTCATTATCTTTGTAACTGCACTACAGTATTAACAAACTTGACTTTTGTAATACCTTGCATGCCTCCTATCCTGCCAAAAGAATATCTATAAAAAACAAACTTCATTGGCTATTATGTAAATAATAAATCTTTTAAGTGCTTTAATCCCATATTCATGTGGGGTTAATAAATACTTGACGTGTGACAAAATCATTTCACAATTTTCACGCTCTGACACATTCTCTTGAACCGGAACACTCACACTGTGCCAAAAGCCAGCTCCTGAGGGAGAGTGGGTGCTTGGCGATCTAAGAACTCTAACAGTGGACACAGGGGATCACACACAGATAGACTGTTCGCTGGTACTTCAAGTGTTTGGTTATTAAAGACATTTAATTGCAGGTGTAAACTGAATAACTTACATATATATATGTATATATTTTTTTGAATTTTTGGGATTCAGCTCCAATTTCAGGTGCCGGAGTGGTGTTCCAGTGTACTCCAGCAGCACTACATCCCTGGTAGGCAAGCTAAACCAGGATAATATTAAAGTAGATATTTAAAAGTTCTTAAGGCATTTGATCCCCAAAAAAACATTTCTAATTTCACATTTAAAATATGTGCAACATATAAGTTATTAAGCTTGTCTCTTTGTTTCTATACTTTTTGTTTGCATCTTATTACTTAATGTTTAATAATTACTGTCTGGTTATATAGGGCCAGGCCTTGTATTTGTGGTATATCCGGAAGCAATAGCAACTATGAAAGGTTCCGTGTTTTGGTCAATCCTGTTCTTCATCATGTTAATAACGTTGGGTCTAGACAGCACGGTAAGTAGAGCTGGGAAAATATGTAATGTATATGAAACTAGGCTGAGACAAAACTATAATAAAATGTGAGTAAAATGAGAAAGTAATGCAAAAACTAGTCAAACATTAGCTTAGGGCTAGACGGCATACTAAATAAAGATCGGTAAAATTAGTAGATAATGTAACCTTATTGTAGGCCTACACAACAAAGTAACTAAACGGAGGTGGTAACTAATGCATCGAACTTGTGAAACATTACATTAAACTTAAACTACATGGTAAATTATTTACACAATAAACTATACGGTTGCAGTATGCAGATTCTACATATATTGTTCTTCCATAGTATTTTGTTCTTTTTCTATAAAAATCTTAACTTTTTCTAAATTCTAATTTCAGGACATTAAATCCTATTGAGTTCATGAGTAAACTTTGGCTTGAGGTTTTAGTTTTTGTAGCTTGACCAGTAAAAAATAAAACGTCCATTGTTCTGTGGGATAGTTGCATTGTGTCCTTCTTGACCACGTGTGAGTAGGATATCTGTCTCATGGAACAGAGCTACTTACGCATTTCGTTGCTGTTTTCTGATTATTGAGTTCAAGGCCAGCTATGGGGGTGTTGTGGTGGGCCGTGCGCCCCCCCCCACTTATCTCCATCCTTAGCGGTTTAACAAATCAAATGAGCAGATTATTTTTTTTAAATGACTAAGAAGTGTCAACAAAATATCCACATGCGCCCCCCTCCCCAAGGAAGAGGAACTGGAGCAGAATCTGTTTAGCTCTAAAGAAAGTGTGTATTGCAAATGCAGTTTGTTAGGAAATATGGATCTCTGGTCTTAAAAGTGACAATACTGGCTGTGCGTGTTTTAACCTTGTTGACTACTTTCTTCAGACTGCAGATCGCGTGTATTTCGCTTTACTTCCATTATGTTTACCGTAGAAACACATTCCTGTATCTTTCAATAGTCTTTCCACTGGACGATAAGTTTATTTTATGTTGTTGTTTTTTTTTCCGGCAAAGTGTTTTAATTTGATTTTCATTTTGTGGTCTGACCAGTTACAGATCACTGCACATTTCCATCTACACATTCGAGCCAGGAATCTCTCATTATTTGGTTATTGTGCGCATGTATAACCTTGAATTACCAAACGGTCACCTAAGGTAAAGGCCACTAACTAATGGTAATAATTGGTATCCGATCGCCACAGACGTACAGTATGTATACGCAAACAAATTGTGACATAATTAAAGACATAATAGGCATAAACAACACAGTAAGAAAACTCCGGAAAAATGTAAAATTACATCTCCTTTTACCATTACCCAGTTCATTAAATACATTTATTTTTAGGTCTTCCAGTAAAAGCGATATTTTAAATCCTGAGAAGTGTACATTTTAAGTCTTAAAATCTCTGAAATTACAAAATTTCTATTGACTGTATTTGGATATTCGAGTTTTTACACTTCTGAAATATCATTTAACATTTAATAAAAGCAGTCATAAAACGTAACTGAGAATCAACTGTTATCTATCAAATCAGCATATTTTTTTCCTATAACGTAATATTATTGTTTTCTTTTTTATCATAACTAAGTACCAATTAATAATATTTCAAATTTGCCGGGTTTCAAATGACTTGTATGTGACTATTTATAGTTTGGCGGTCTAGAAGCCATGATAACAGGACTGTGCGATGAATATCCCACTGTACTACGTCGACATCGAGAAATATTCGTTGGAGTTTTGATTCTATTTATTTATCTGTGTGCTCTACCAACTACAACATACGTAAGTATCTTCTGTTTATATAATGTATGTTCTATCATGTCCAACATGCATATATGCGGGTATCTTCTGTTTATGTAATGTGTATTCAACCAACTAAAAACCTATCAGGGACGTAGTCAGCACTAGAGAGTAGGGAGAGTCTTTTTCCAAAAAATGTGGTCCTCTCCTTTTCTTTTACACAAATAACTTAAGTGATTTACCTTAGACGAAATGAAACTTGTAAAACGAATGTATTCAAAACTTATGAGTATCAAGTGTTTATTTAAAAAACAAAAACAAAAGATAGTTGGCCTTTTAGACTTTGTTAGAATATTGGGATGGTCTTTCGACTTCTCTGACTCTCAATGACTATGCCCATGCCTATGTATCATCTGTTTATATGTGTGTGTTTTATCGACTATAACCTATGTATCTGTTGTTTACGTATCTACGTGTTCTATCAGATACAGTATAGGTAACCTCTCTTTATATATCCAAACGTGTTAAAATAACAGCAATCTACGTGGGTATATTCTGTATATATACACGTGTGTTCTACCAACTACAATCTACCTTTAAGTTATAATTATATACTAGCATGTTATACTAAGTACAACCAACGTATCTTCTGATCATATATCTGTATATACACGTCTGTGTCCTATCAACTACAGCCTACGTATCTTATCTTTATATGTGCCCATGTTTTCTTCCAGCTGCAGCCTATTAGATTATATTTTGTTAATATATACTCGCGTGTTCTACAAACTACAACCTCTATGAATATATTCTGCTTATACTTACATACATACCTCTGTGTTCAACCACATGTAGCGTATGTGCGTATCTTCTGTTTATATACTTGGGTGTCCTACAAACTGCAGCCTACGTATCTTTATTTTATATTGTTGTAGGCTATGTTTTTTAATGTTTTAGTTTAGAAACTTGTATGCTAAAGAGAGTTTTAGCATGACGTATTGATGATATGTTACGAAAGGAAGTTTAATAATGAATGTTAAGCTTACTTTGTTAGTTATACTTGGTTATCGCTAGGTAGTGCAACCGAGTAAGTTGTAAAACTTATTTGAAAAAATAAAATGCTTTCCTTTCACCAAGGAAACTAGACTTTGTATTATTTTATCGAATAATCAAGAAGAATCCGCTCAACGTTACAACACTGATGTCAGCAGTAGGATTATTTGGTAAAAATAAAATAGAATCCAAACTGAACTTCAAGATAACGACAAGTGCTCGAAATGCGGTTGAAAATGGAATGGAAATGACGAAGCACACAGCAAGGTCAAGAAGAAAGAAACAGAAAAATAAAAGAAGACCAAGAAGAAAGAGACAGGAATTTGAGAAAGGAGTTGAAAGAAAGAGGCGTAAGAGATAAAGAAGTATTAGTATAAATTTCGTTGAAAACAAGATCAAAGAATCTGTTGGAGATGTTCAGAAAGATTATAGCAGCAAAAATGAAGCAATACATCTATTAAGTGCCGAAAGGCTGTAATGACAAACTGAAGAAGTGAAAAAGAACAACAAAGAAGTACAAAAAGATTATAGCAGCAAAACCAACGAAGTAAAATGAATGTCATTGACAGAATAAAACACCTGGAAAATTCAAGATCAAACCATCCACACGTTTTTCTGTACCTGCCCAATAATTTCATCCTCAAACACCTTTAAAATGTGGAACAGGATAACCCATTTGGTATACACATGTTACCATCACTGTTTTGCCATCTATGACTCAGAACACTCCTGAACTTCTATACATATTTTTACCTCAGCAAGATACAGAATTTGGCAGGCTGGTTCAACAGCATCGCATAATCAAGAAACCAACAAACTATGATAGAAAGGTACCATGGGAGGCAAATCAGATTCAGTTTAAGATAATCTCTAAAGTGAATGGCTGGTAGTAAAAAAAAACGCTTTTCAACTTGCTGCCCATTTAAAAAGACCAGCTTTAATAACATTAATGCAATCTGAGAGCCATAATAACTAAGAAGAATTCGCAGTTTCCTTATCGAACAGCTTTAGATAACACACCAGAAGGAAGTTTCCAAAGTCGAATTCAGAAGCAGAGGAAAGATGAAACTTTAGATGAACTTATAGAAGATGTGGAAAGGCTTGCCCAGTTACGTTATGTAAATACTCCACGTGGAATAATGGATTTGTTGACACGTAACCAATTCATAGAAGCCTTAGTGGATGAGAACATTCAAATTAGGCTAAGGCAGATTAGGTGTAGATCCTGTTTAGTTGGCGTTGGAACTAGAATCAAATAAACTAGCAAGCCGATAACCAAATTCATCATCTAGGAATTATGAACTTATCATTTCAAATAGTGTAGAAAAATAAATCCATTTGGTGGAAGTCTAGAAGAAATCAAAGAATTTGTTAGACAACTGTTTACTCAGTAGGAAGAAAGTAAACCACAAGACAAAAAGTATTTCAACTGCAACTTAAATGGGCGTATTACCAAGAGCTGCAGAAGAAAGCCTTTAATTAGAGAGTTGTTTACTCAAGAAAAAGGAAGTAAACCACAAGCAGAAGGTGTTTCATCTGTAACATAAAAGTATATAGTGCTAGAAAGTACTCTCGATGGATGACAGGAGAAGAAGACTGCTATACACGTGGAAAACAATAAATACGAGATTGTGAAGAATCAGTCATTGACAATAAACTAAGGAAACGATATCTTGAGGGTAAAAAAACTCCATCTGTCCCAGTGTTTACCTTTGTTATAAATAAAGATCACCTTGCACTCTATTTACACTATGACCAATCTCTTTCCAACTTCAAACCAAGTCAGGCTCAGAGATTCAGATTTGTTCCGATATATTTTCTGTTGATCCTCCTCTTATTTGCGATTACCGCTCTTATATGAACAAGAAATCAGGATACCTGGTTGTTCTACACGAATATTTTCTGTTGATCCTCTTGTTCATATAAGAGAGGTAATCGCAAATAAGGAGAAATCAAGATACTTGGTTGTTCTACACGAATATTTTCTGTTTATTTACCTGTCTATTGTACTAAAAAACCTACGTGAGTATCTCCTGTTTATATATATCCAAACACAAAGTACGTGTGTATATTCTGTTTACATATTTATGTGTTGTAGTAATCACAAGCTACTTGTGTATCGCTTATTTATATACCTGCATGTCATTTCTACTAACGTGTGTTTAGAAAATTCTAAAAATGTTATTTAACTAATAACCTAAAGAAATGTCTGTAATTTCCTATTACGAAAATTTCAAAGTATTATTTAGAATATGTAACTACCTTATCTAATCTTTATTCATAGTATTATCCTAAAGCTTTTCAGGTTGTTTTCAACAATAAATATAAATAGATTAAGTCCAACAGCTTTTCAAAATGAAACAAGTGTTCTATTTAAAAATCGTTTCATATATATTTAAAAATATTTTTTTCTTAAACGGCTTTGACTAATTAAAGATTGATACATGCGGTAACAGCATATGTATGGTTAGTTAGGGCTTGACAAATCTAGAATGCAACAACAGTTTTAACTAGTTAAAACTTGCTACGTGAGGTAACAACGAGAGTTTTTAACTTGTTAAAGCTTGATACATGCGGTAACAATCAGAGTTTGGGCTAGATAAGAGCTTTATACCTGCTGTAACAGTGAGAGTTTTGGCTAGTTAGTGGGAATAATGAAATTTTTGACTAGTTAGAGCTCGATACATGCGGTAGAAACAGGAATTTTGACTAGTTAGAGCTCGATACATGCAGTAACAACAGGAATTTTGACTAGATAGAGCTCGATACATGCGGTAACAACAGGAATTTTGACTATTTAGAGCTCGATACATGCGGTAACAACAGGAATTTTGACTAGATAGAGCTCGATACATGCAGTAGCAATAGGAATTTTGACTAGTTACAGCTCGATACATGCGGTAACAACAGGAATTTTGACTATTTAGAGCTCGATACATGCGGTAACAACAGGAATTTTGACTAGTTAGAGCTCGATACATGCGGTAGAAACAGGAATTTTGACTAGTTAGTGCTCGATACATGCGGTAGAAACAGGAATTTTGACTAGTTAGTGCTCGATACATGCAGTAACAACAGGAATTTTCACTAGTTAGAGCTCGATACATGCGGTAACAACAGGAATTTTGACTAGTTAGAGCTCGATACATGCGGTAACAACAGGAATTTTAACTAGTTAGAGCTCGATACATGCGGTAACAACAGGAATTTTAACTAGTTAGAGCTCGATACATGCGGTAACATCAGGAATTTTGACTAGTTAGAGCTCGATACATGCGGTAACATCAGGAATTTTGACTAGTTAGAGCTCGATACATGCGGTAACAAGGTTGGATACAGAGTTTGATAGAACCGAGAAAAAGAAGCTTAGTTTGTTGGAATTTATATACATAATAAACGTTTTGGCTGGTTCGAGCTTGATACAAGTATAATAATAATGATAGTCTTTTTTCTCACAGTCGTATTTGGTATGTAAAACAACAGCCTGATTTTGTTCGTTCACTATTTTTGGCAGGGTGGTAGCTATGTAGTAAACTTACTGGACTCCTACGGTACATCGATGTCCGTTTTGTTTGTCGTCTTTGTGGAGGCAGCCACAGTTTGCTGGTTTTATGGTGAGTAATAAAGGTTTTTTTAATAACACTAACGCTTTTAACCTACTTTAAGCTTCATCTGGTTGACGTCAACTAGCACACTAATTTATTTATTTTCCACATAGATTGTGAAATTTATGTCTGTAAAGAAATTCCATTCACTTTCAAACATGGGACGGAAATTGTATCTCACCAATATAAATCCAGTATACATTATATACATGTTAATAGCCAGTTTATAATCTTGGAAAAATTAGATTCGCTTTTTAATGTTTCTGTTTCCGTAAAGCGTCTTTTTATCAGTCGTAACATTTTGTCTGCATTGGTCGTCTGCGCAGCAAAGGCCCTGGACCAATATTTCCCCGTTCTCCCTCCTCTTCTACTCACTATCGCGTATGTACAATGATCTCCTAATAAAGCTAATTAAAAATGATAAGGAATGAAATTACATTCCATCCCCTGACTGTTATCTTTTGAAACAATATTAGCGCGCGTGTGTGTGTGTGCGCGCGCGCTCGCTATGTCGATTCCGATTTTCGAAAGCAATAACGGTTGGTCATTTGCGAATAAACACACCCTTTTTATAGTTCAAAGCATCGTCTGGACCATTTCTTAGGCTTAACACAAAACTGCCAAATATTTAAGTTAACTATCTGTGAAAACTAGTTCGAACTGAATCGTTATTTTTAAACTCATATTTATTGAACAAGCTTCCATCTCATCTTGAAATGTATGCACGTGAATATGTTTACAAAAGATAATGTCTTGTTTCATTACAACAATAGTGAGAAACAGCGTAATATATAGAATTAAAAAAACTGATAAATCTTAGAAAACCTTTTTCCACAACATCGTTTTCTTTGTATAGGCGTGTCAGTTTTGAACAGAAAAGTTGACAGCTAGCTCTATAGATATTAAGTTTGGTGATAAAAACCTGATAAATTTGTTATTACTTTTGTCACGCCGAATCTTACTTTTATGGTTTCGTTTTTATTATTATTACTATTATTAATTCTTCAGTTCTTTTTATATAAAACTTGCACAGGTTTTTGGGTAGGCCTCTAAGACTTCATATTATGGGTCGTGGTGTGACTGTCCTGCTCGTTCCACTTATTCTTTTGTTACTGTGAATGTACATACATATAAAATAACGTCATAGAATGCTCTCAGTGACCGCAATTTTTATCGATGTCTCATCTCTTGCAATAAGCATTTATAGATGTTTTATTCGTTTACTTCTTTGCAGTGGTTACTTAGAACCAGTGAAGTTACGATATGACTAATCATTGGAACAACTTACAGAGTTTTGTTGATAACATAATTACAGTGACATCATAATTTTATCCTTACAAATTATGTTGTAATTTGAAGGCAGTTGTTGCTCGTTAAGCCTATTAATTATTCTGACCGTTTCTGTAGGAAATCGTAGCGCCAGCTGTTGATAATTTATAATACTATAAAATAGATTGACACTGAATAAAAGTGATGATCAAAAGTATAAATTACTTGAGTGACGGTAGTAAACTTGAGTTTCACAGTTTTTACTTCAACGACTGTCGTGCTTCTGTAATGTGTAAACGTTTGGTTACTCCACGCTGTGTCCTTTTTGTTTAGGTGTCTAGCAGTAACATCTGCAACTTCTGTTTTGATCCTTTAGTTTAGGGTATTAAATATCCTATATTCAAGGAAGAGAAATTAAATAGTAGTTACATGTTTCGGAAACATGAGCTTTAGATACATCAAAAATTTCCAAGAGCAACAAAAAATATACAGTTATAAAAATGCCCTACAGTGTAGGAAATAATCAATACAAACAGTGTTATTGTTAAACGTTAAAATATTTTATAATTTAAAACAAAATGCTTCTGCCAAGCACTGAACGATGAAACAGTTATGCAATAAAAATGTGATGTGAAACTTTAAGGAATGCATAAGTGCGTCTAATAAACATATAAGAAGAGGTAACGCAGAAGTATTTTTTCACAGACTTGGTTCCAGATCACACACAAAAGTGATCTTTGTAGAATGAATTTATGCATAACTGGCAAAAAACAAACATTACAGTAGCATCTCTCCAAGAATAAACCTCTCTAGAAAACTCTAATTATCTATCTATCTATATATGGCAGATTTTGTTAAACAAGACCGATGTCTGTAGGTTTACTTTCTTCTTAGAATTCTTCTCAAGAAGTCGATAAGCCGTCTTAACGTTGTTAGAACAACGGGTAAAAGTTGTAGCTAGTGATGAGTTGGCCGACGCGTTTCGAATGGGTTCTGCATCCATTATCAAGGCTGAATGTTGTGTGAATTGTGATTACTGTTGGTGGGATATTTATAGGTATGGGTAAGCAGGTGGTGGTATCTAGGTCGCGGAAGGCGTTAATTGGTGGAGTGTTGTATTGTGGCTTGGGGGTTTCTCGCCAAGAAATAGCAGTGTGCGTGCTGTT